CACAATATCATTAAATGAAAAGGAGTAGAAAGAAGAAAAGAATCATATCTGCCCCCAATTTTTAAAAAAATGTGGCACCCAGGAATATTCAACCATTTAAAGTCACCCCCATCAACGTTTGTTTTTAAATTTTCTGTCTTATGTTTTGATTGTTAATGTTGTGTGGTACTGACTTAAACTCAAAGTAAATTCAGGTGCAATAATAATTTTTGCCTGTAGAACGGCTGTCAGTTGAAAATTCCTCAGCTGTGTGGTCAGTATCACAGTGCAGCAAAGCCTCTACTAAGAACACCTGATTTCTGTTATGAGCCTTCTTCTAAATGAATGAATCATGCCAGTAGTTTTGAAGTCCTTCGCTAAACTGTTCCACAATTTCATACCCTGAACTGAAGAAGTACATCTCTCTTTCAAGCTTGTACTAATTTTGGGCAAAACAAACATCTCAAATCCTTTCAAGTTATAAACACTCATCCTCTTAGTAAAACGGCAGTGAGGTGTAGTGGATCGATCGAAGTATTTAGAATACTGATACCAACCTTGTTCAGTTTATATCTTGTAGCTCCAGAAGTCCAGTTGCTTCATCTTTTTTCTTTTAATTGTTCATGTTTTGGATGACTCAGAATCCTACAATGTCAGTCTAAGACTGTATCAAGTTACTGGATCGATACTTAGTTTTACTTCCAGCACGTCGCTCCCCTTCCAGAAATACATGCTGCACCGGACCAGAGGCAGGTTCAAATGCAAACGGTGAATTAAACAAGCTAATTATTTAATTGGCTCAGATTGAACAACAACTTCAGAATGGACATGCTAACATGTAGCATCCATGTTTCCTTAAACAGCCAGCTGAATGTGACGTCACGTCATCTTCATAGAGTCACATCAACAACAAAGCGTTCTCACTGGAGTCTGATGTTGATGGATCATGATATATATTGTCAGCCTTACTTACAATATAACCACCTGTAGCCAGTGTGGTTTTATAAAACCAGCCAGCTGCTCGTCTTTACCGTTTTGTGTCTGTCTTTAAGGAATAAGCATCAGATGGCAAAGAAGAGTACTTCTCCATTCATCCCTGGGGTGGGAGGGACACATGCTTCCAAAATGCTGCAGTCTCTGTCAAGTCCCACCAATCTGACAAGGTGAGTTCACCTTTTGTATCCAGTCCACGTTCCAAAATTAAACTACACTGTTTAAAAGAACAGAAACAATCGTTTTTAAATCATCCAGAGCCACATTCTCACTTCCTGTTTGGACCTTCAGGTTCCTGTCGCAGCTCTCTTAATGAAGAAATATCACCTGAACACAAAAACACAAAAAATATTTTATTTATTTTATTTCAAATTTTATTAATTTCTTAAACAAAATTCAATATACAATAAAAAAGAAAATACAATGAAATGAAAGGCAGCAGAGAAAAGAAAAAAATCTTATAATATCTGCCCCTTTTTCTCAGTATAAATTAAGACTGTAGTAATTTTCAGTTAACAAAACAAACACATTGCAGCCACACATTTTGGTGTCCCATATAGTGTTTTAAGTACTGCTGTCAAAAGATTAATATTTTTAATCTGATTAATCCCAAAGTAGCTGCGAATTAATCACAATTAATCTTAAATTTAATATACATTTCTATTGCATATTGATAAAATAAATTACTTGACTTATTAATTAGTTTTTAATGTTTTTATTAATAAAACAAATTTGGTGCTTGGACATGATTTTTTAAATATAAATCAGGACCTAAAAAATGCTCCAAACGTATTTGAGTCAGTTAAATTTTGTGCAGAATAATGAGGTTAAATCAAGAATTCAAGGATTTTCATTCCAAATGAGTTCTACATGAGGAATGAAAGATAAATACTAAGGTCACAGTTGTCAGCAAAACATAAATAAATAAAATAAAATAAGCCATAAGAAGACAAAAAGAAAAAAACTGTACATAATGTGTTACACATGGGTTTT